AACGCACGGTTGATTCTGATTCCATCTCCGAAATAGACGAATGACTTCAAGGCGCATACAGAGAAGTGATTAGTGGTCCTTAAGTATGAGACAGGAGATGCTGTTTGACACAACAGTGAAGAAGGAAACTACAGAATCGTTGGAATGTGCCCTGGATGAAGCCGGTTCCTCATAAATCTAGAAAGCAGTATTGCCAAATCCATTCTTGTGCCGCAAGCCCATGTCGGAGATGACACGGGAGAACCTGATGGTAAAGAAGCGAGGCACAACAGGCACCAGAGAGACACAGACAGAATATGGGACTGTTGGCAGAGGAGTGGGTGACAGTGTTTAGGAGTGAATATTTTTGTTTTTGCGTCGCTTTTTGCCGTACCAACACATATGGCATCTTCTTTCACTTTAGCACCTTTTCTATAGCTTAGAACATTTCGGCTGATTAACACGGAATGTGTCTTTAAGGTCACCACCTGTCTCTGAACATACTGTCACCTCTAGCCTAGTTGCTAACCAACCGTAATTTGCGAAGCAAAACCCAATTGTCTCACCCTTCATGACCCTCTATTACACGAAAGTGCATGGAGCTTATCACCCGTATCTCATATAAGGATTGATTATCTTGCAAATATTTTGATCCACAGTTTTTTAGAGAAAACTTTCCAAACCCGCATTCGAAAAACATCAGAAACGATGGAATGCAAGCCTTTCATATTATTCTGAATATTGAGGATTTTCGTGAACTACCGTACCGTGCAGCGGTAAAATCGAAATTTGCGATATGATATGTCACATACGAGTGTAAGGTTAGGAAATAAACAAGATATTGAGGGTCGACGAGGGTAAAGTCTTTAGCGGCTTCGAAAGTGCAGCGCGTATTCGCTCATACGGCAACGTCAACGCATTTTTCTTGATCATTGGGCATGTTATTCAATTTCATCTTCACCGATGAAATACTTCACTTCACGGGCACAAAAACGACGGTCGGACAAAATTGAAGTCGTTCAGAAACCACCCCGCAGCATTCCAAAGACTTCCGCTTACTTTTGATGGGTAAGCCAAAGGTAGGGTCACGACAATCGAAGGTACATGGCTCAGCTAGCCTTTGCGCAGGAAGGAAGAGAGAGCACGAGCAGAAAGATAGAGTTACTAAGCCAATTGAATTCTACATGATAAATAGATCAATTGCTAAGAAGGGGCTCATAGCCCGTCAGCTCTTCAACACACGCCACACCCTTGACTCTCACTAAAAATTATGGGAACGTTCGAATGGAAAATGGTGCATTTTTTGATGAAATAGCCGTGAAAAAGGTCACAGGAGTTCCACCAATATAGAAATCAAGTCATCGACTTG